TATATATATATATACTAGAAGCGTACTCGCACAATGCAGCGAGATACATCTTGATTTTAATGTTTCGTTTTATATTTTGGGTCTATCTATGTTATAATGTCATTTTAAGAAAAACAAATGTTTTTTATTTTTGAATGAAATATAAATTTGAAGATATTATAAAATTTTGATAAAAATAAGCGATATTAGTATCATAAACTATTTAAAAGTTCTTTTTTTCTGTAATTTCTTTAATTCAATTTTTTTATTATGATTTAATCGAATTTTTAAAACGAACTAATTTATTTTTGGTTTAATAAAATAATTTATTTAAGATAATAATTAAGTATTTTGTTAGAACTCAATGATTATCTTAATTTATTTTAGATTTTTTATATTTAAAATGATGTTTATCATGTATTTGATTATGTTTATCTACAGTTAGTTATATGAATTCAAACATAAAGCTTTAATAAGATGTACTCATGCACATTCTACTTGTGATCTTGAATTTTAAGTAATATGCATCAATAAACAGTACTTTATGCATAAAAAAATGTTTTAAGAGTTTTTGTCAAATGCTTTATAATATTATATATATATATATATATATATATATATATATAGATGTGGGTTATTATACAACCCTTTGCATTTGTACAACCAATACAACCCAATCTCAACCTTCCATTTAATTTGATGAATATGTGATTTTATAGAAGTTTTGATTCTTTTCTAATATAAAGTATTTATTATAATTAATGAACCATATTCATCTTCCATAAATATTCAAATCATAATAAATGAACTCCTATCATTTCTATAAATATCTCAATTAATTGGGTTGCATTGGTTGTACAAATGGACTTGGTTGTATTTGAAATATACCCTATATATGTATGTATATATATACATGTATGTATGTATTCTATACATATAACATACATACGCACACGGACACAAAGACCATCTCTGGCATCCTCCTCCGGCGATCACAACACCACACCCGACACTCTTCACCCTCCTCGTCCCCCTCCTCTTTCTCTTTCCGATTAGCACAACACCACCTCCTCCCCACTTTTCTTTTTCGGCCAACCTTTG